TTTTTTTTTTTTTTTTTTTTACTACAGCCTACTTGGGATCATTTGCCCTATTGCTGGCATCAGGAAAGATAAGCTAAGCTAAGATTAAAATCTGTCAATCCAATTTGCCAGTAGCAGTACTAGAAAGTGTGGTGAAGGAGGTTTAAGGGGATCCTTTATAAAATGTAGGTGAGAGCCCCAGAACTTGCTTACGGAGTAAAAACAAATTCACATGATACATTTTGACAAATGGCTTTTGAAGAAGTCTGTATGATCTGAACTCATACTAGCAACTTAGGAAAGCATTGATTTTTAAAATTTCACTTTAGAATTAATTCTGTCTGCTTTTTGATATTTGAAGATAATTTTTAAATATTTGGTTATGCAATCTGAAAGATGCAGTGAATTCATAATTTTTCTAACTCTCAAGTACCCAATGAATATGAATAATTATACAAATGTTTTTGTAATTTTATTAGTACTATAAGAAGACTCATCTACCTCATGCAGTACAATTTGAGAGTTGTATATTCCTTAAAACGCATAGTGGAGCATGGGAAGTTTCCTAGCATAGCAACCTCTGTTCCCACATATTATTTATACCTCCTAATTTTCCAAAGACGTTTACATGACTTTGCTGACTAACTGTAAATCCCTAGGAGAAATTTTGTGGTAAAACGTCAGTCTCTTGTTTAGGAAATGATTGCCACAAATTCAGCATGATGAATCTTCATGGAATTTAGAACAAATTGTGAGCAGCATGAAACAGTATATCTTGCTCTTGAAATGATTGATAAAACAAAAATAGCTATTAGGAAACTTGTAGCAAAAAAAAAGGATTAAATATATGATTCCTCAGATACTGTGGTCTTAGATATTAAATCACATTTCCAACAATTTTTCTTAATATTTAGTAAGTATATTTGTATATTAGATAATGCAAACCAAAACAATGATTGATGGCATTATTCATGAGTTCCAGTTCTCGTTCCTTTACGTGTAAAATCCTCTCTTTTACATGTAAAGTTCATTTTTTTGTTTCTGTTTTTTTTTGAGACAGGGTCTCGCTCTGTAACAGAGACTGGAGTGCAGTGGTGCA